CTGGAACACTTAACACGTGACAAGGGTACTTGAAAAGGACAGTCTGATAGCTACCTGCTGTTCTTTCTCTGGGACAAAGCTCAGCAGCTTTTTGGCTTTTTTTTGTTTGTTTTTATTTTGGGGTTTTTTTTTTTTTTGACTTAATAAATGTCCAGGTCACAACACACATTGGGTTTTGTGAGTAATACAGCATGCCATAATTTCTCAACTCTCCACATAGTATGAAATGGCCAGACATACATAATACATACATAAATGAATGAGCTTACTAGTATCCCAATAAAACTTTATGTGTACGTGCCAAAATATGAATGCCATATACTTTTCATGTGTGAGGTCATGCGAAATGTTCTTAATTTTTTTTTTTTTTTGGTTTTTTCAAGACAGGGTTTCTCTGTGTAGCTTTGCGCCTTTCCTGGTACTCGCTTTGGAGACCAGGCTGGCCTCGAACTCACAGAGATCCACCTGCCTCTGCCTCCCGAGTGCTGGGATTAAAGGCGTGCGCCACCACCGCCCGGCGAATGTTCTTAATTTTGAAAAAAAAAAAAAAACCTTTTTAAAAGTGTGAAAACTATTCTTCATTTGTGGCCATGCAAAAGGAGATGGTGTCTGTTTTTGCCCATTGTGCTGTGTTGTATAATTTCTTTATCCTTTTCTGTGCCTCTCATAATACTTTATTTCTGTATGGCACCTTCTCAAGTTGTTTCTAGCTTTTCAGCACTTTAGTAAAGAGAGGACCAATTCTAAATGAAAACTGAGACTAGAAGCCCTCCCTTTCTTATTTTTTTACCTTAATGTTACATTTTCCATGCAAGAATCAGTGTAATATAGCTAATCCGTTCCATTTTCCCATATATGGGCTTTGTAGAAAATGGGTAATTTTGTTTTCTTGTTTAATTCCTTTCGGTGTTAGATTTGATGCTTGCTTGCTTTGAAACCAACACTCTGCTGTTTTTACCTTTTCTTTACCTGGTAATATCTTTTTTAAATTTAATATTGGCATCCTATAGACATTTAAAGAAAACACAGTGAAAAATACAACAGCAACAAAACATGAAAGTAGGAGAGATTTGGGAAGGAGTTTGGTGAGGGAGTAGACAAGCAGATAATGGATGACTTTGATCAAAGACCACCTTTATATTATATATATGAAACTGTAATAGTTAAAAAGGGATGTGTATGAATTGAGAATGTCAATACAATAATTTGTATACAACTGTTATTATAAAAAATTTTAATTAGATAAAAAGCACCAAGCTGCTTGCAACTGTTGGCTATATAATTAGATAAACTTTCTTTATATACATCACTATGAATACCATCCATATGATTTCAGATCTATAAAAAATGTTTGACTTACTCCTGTTTGCTCTCTTGTAGTACTACAAGCCAGTGGAAATAGTAAGGGCAGACTTGGTCCAAATTCCATTTGACCTTTACTCTGTGCAGTTTGGACCACTTAATAAGTTCTTGAAGCTTAAGTTTTCTTAAGTAAGTTAAAACTGTATAGTCAGTGAATGGGAATTTCCATTTACCTTTCCCTTTTCAGCATAATCTTTTTTCACATGGCTGTAGCTATGCTGAATGATTTGGGAGAAGAGCAGCCTATATTTGGTGTCAGGGGTAGTGTTTGTTTTGGTTTGTAGACACAGAACTAAACAATAAGAACCAACTAAGTTCTCAACCTTCCTAATGCTGCAACTCTTTAACACAGTTCCTCATGTCTTAGTGATCCCCAACCATAAAATTATTTCATTGATACTTCATAACTGTAATTTTGCTACTGTTATAGATCTGATATGCAGAATATCTGATATGAGACCCCAAGGAGGTCACGACCCACAGGTTGAGAACCACTGAACTAGAGGATTCTCAGATGTGAATTACTGATACTTACATGACAGTATACATGGTGAACATGGTCTCAACTTTTCATTAATCTTTCCTTTGCCTTGTTTTTTTTCACTTCTGAAAACATAGGTTTGACAGTTCTCTGGAAGACCTACTTAAGAGCGGACCTCACCCACCTGCAGCTCCCCAGGTGTTAAATATTCATAGTCAAGTGGCCACATTTTCTAAAGTAGCAGCCACTTACTCTAGGTAGAGTTCTTTCCTTCTCAGTTGTCTCTGTTTCAATGCTGCTGTGAATCTCAATACTAAACTCACTGAGAATGAGAGCACAATCATGGATTAAGGAGCTGATGTCATTATGTGTGGACACACTCAGCCTCCAAACACTCCTTTACACTGCTTTTATATTCTAGTATGCTTTGGTTTGGTTGTTAACTTCTAATATAGAATGAGGAAATCTGTGTCTTGTTTATTCACTTTGTGATTTGCTAAATTAACTGAGTTTGGCTTAAGTCTGTTCTTAAATTCAATCATGTACCTCTGAAAGAAGAGAGGCATGTTCCAAAAGTCCCAGACATGTTCCCAGACTATAGAGGCAAAAGATATCACCTATAAGATGTTGATAATTCTTTCAGATAATTCCTTTTACCATTGGATGGAGAGGAACTTCATTAGTTTCCTCTTCTCCCAACTACAGGATGAGTTAGCTGATGTATTTTTAGCTGACTATTTTATACCTTGTTTCTATTTATTATTCACCATCACTTTTCACCAATGGCAACTGCTGACTCAAAGATGCAGAGTGATTCAGAAACACAAACAAACATTAAATCACTAGGTACCTGTTCTTCACCTTAGCACTCACACTTCCTCCCTCTGCATTGAAAGCATCTTTAGCTTCTCACTCCTGGCCCCATTCTTCTTTTTCTAACTATTCATAGAAGTTGTTCAAACTTAGCCATACAATCCCATTTCATGGATTCCTTACAAATGTGTACATCATCCTCTGTTTCTATATAATATGTTAAACTGACTTCCTGTAGTTTCTTCAGTTTTCTTCCAGTGGTTTATAAAGTTACATTGGTGGAGTTGGGAGCTTATCAAATTCTTTAGAAGAGAGAGCAGACTTAGGTCCACTCTCATAGTTCCTTAAGCTGAGTTCTTAATAACCTGTGTTGAACTTGGCTCATAATGTGTTGGGGGTGGCCATTGTCACAAACTTTTAAAACAAAAAGTAGTTATAGTGTTATAGTGATGTTATTAGTAACTTACACCCAAAGAGGAAGATAAGCAAATCCCACACCATGTTTTTAGACTATCCCATTTAATTAAAAACCCTCAATCAAAATTTGACAACCAGTTTTGAGAGTACTGCATTCCTATTGCTGGAATGTAAATTTCTGCCCATATATTTTACTGTTTGAAAAAAAATAATTATTTTAAGTCATAAGGACTCTTCTGAATATGAAATTTTATCTCATCTAAAAATCTTACAGAGCTAACTCAAAATAGAAATGGAGAACTTTGCAAAGAAGGTAATGTTTTGGTTATTTATATTCTTGTAATTAATGTTTATTTTTGCAAAGATTCTTAGCATCCAGAATAATTTAACTTAGATTATTTTAAAATTATATGTTGTTTTTGTTAATAAATGTCACTGCTTCTGAACATGTAGGCAGTTCTGCTTCTAAAGACACATCTCATTAAAATGTCAGGTCCTTGGTGTATGTTGGAGACAACACTTCTCATGTAAAGCCTGTTTAGGAAAATCCCCTTATCTCTGCTTATAGAAACACAGCCTTTATTTTCAGATTCGTTTTCTACTTAGTTGTTTATATATCACTCTTCCAATATGTGACATGTAATTTCAATGTACTTATAATAGGACTGGACATAATTGACATTTTAGAGTACTTGGTGAGAAACAGTCTGTTTTAGGTAAGCTTACACATTAAATTTAAATCTCTGGGATTGCAGACATAATGCGTAAGTATCTAAGCACCCGTCACACCTTCAAATGGCTCACTGTGTCCAATACCGATTAGAGTGATGCTGACTTGTGTTCACCCTGCTGCCTTTTCTTACTTGCATTTCCTCCTGCCCTCTTTCTTTCCCTGTCAGTGTAAGCAGCTCCTCAAGGACTGTAGAAGGCTCTTTGGAAGGTTCTGGAAACTTTTCTGCCTTCTCCCCTCCTGCTAGATACAGTGCTGCAGTTGTCAGTGGTGCGGCTGCCACTGTGTCTGCCGCTCTCGCTGCAAAAACCAGGTAGAATTATGTGTGTAGTGTCTGTCTGTGGTCCCAGCATCCTCCAGTGTCTGGCAGCTCACTTCAGAGGGAGCAGACCTGCTCCTTCCGGAAGCAGGGTTCTGAAATGAGCTCCCCCTGGTGTGGTGAGCATTTCACAGAGGTTGTGGGGAAATCCATGGGACTGGAGAATGTTCTCTAAAAGCATCCCTGTCTCTCTTTTCACCGCTGCCACTTATGTGTATCTCTCCGTTGGGCCCATTGTTATGTACTATGTTCTTACAGACTTTAGAGTCTTACAGCTTTCCGTTGTTGTAGCTGAGGCAGAATCAGAAAGAAATTAAGTATCTGTTGAGACTATCTTATTCCACAGCATTGGTGAACTAAAGCCTAATTGCTCTCTGAAACGGCCCTTCTGTGAGCTTTGTTTCTGTATTATTCCTACCACATTTGTGGATTTAAATGCTTTTGAGAGCTAGCCTTGCATGATTGTAGTGAAAATTCCATCAATTGTTTTTTGGTTTTTGTTTTGTTTTGTTTTGTTTTGTTTTGTTTTGAGACAAGGTCTCTCTGCATAGACCTAGCCATCCTGGAACTCACTATGTAGACCAGGATGGCCTCAACCTCACAGAGATCCACCTGACTCTACCTCCCAAGTACTGGGATTAAAGGTGTGTGCCCAGTCAAATTTCATCAATTTTATATCAGTGAGTGAAATAATATGATGAATGCATACCGTTTCTCTTCATCTTTCCCCACTGCTTTGCACTTCTTTTCTCTCTCTTCCTCTTCCCCGTCTCTCTCTCACACTCTTAAGGAAAATATTTCAGATCATAGACTGAAAACCACTTTCTTCTGCGGATACTGCGAGTTTTCACTGAAGTCCTTCTCTGAATGCTTGCCAGGCTCTCCGGCCCTGAAAACTCTCAGTCCCTCCTGGATGCACTTTGCATCAGCACTGTTCCCAAGCCTCTAGTTTTTTCCTGTCTTCAGTCCTCCGAGAAGTCAAGTGGCTCTATCCATGTTAAGAAAAGCAGGTACTTTGGGAAGGAACATGGCATGCAGAGGTTTGCTTCCTCTAACAATGTATTACTATGGTAACAGGCCAGACAGAAAATCATAGAACTGACTTATCTAATTTCATTTAGCTGCAATTTCACTGTAATGCTAGTGCACGTGCATGCTGTTTTATTTACCTATCAACTCACCTTTTAATCCTTGTGATATCTTTCACCAGCATACTTGATGTTTGGTATGAAGTTAGGAGTAATTGTGCCAATATTTGAACTATAGTGGACTCCTGACTTTTATCAGATGGCTACAGCTGTAGTAACTATACTTCTAGAAGTAGTGCTTCTACATCTAGAAGCTTGAGTGGTTAAATAGAAAATAGTATATAACCACTTGCCATAGAGCCCAGTGCGAGGAGGATGTTATTATTCCTTCTGTTAGCTAGATGTAGAGTTTGGGTGCTTGCAAATGAAGGTGGACAGGGGTACCTGGTGTCCAAAGTCTGGGCGGGGAAACAGTAAGTGTGGTACACTGTAACTCAGCTCTCTGCTCTCTTAACGGCCATGCCCACTTCAGTGTTTCCATCGTCTGCCTGAGTGCCTCTCAGCTGAGACAGGACTGTCAGTTTGTAAGGCACAGGGTTTGTGCTTTGAGTGGTTTTCCATATTAGGATTGCTTCCTTTGTTGAACTGCATCCATCCCGCTGCAGATGGTATTTATGAGGAGTACACCACAAATAACCACATATAGCCTGCCACAAATATGCACAAGTGTTGCCAAGGCTACTCAGGGTCTTCTCATACCTTGAGCCATGTAGTATTGCTACTTCCAACAACCAGACTCACTAGCCTTGGCATTGGATGCCTGTCATTCAGTTTACTGCATCACAAGTATGGCAGGTATCCCAGAAGTAAATTTTAATACTTCAGACGATTAAATGGCAATGATTCGGACTTTAGTATTTCTGAATTTTATTTTTGATATAAGCTCCTTTTTTCGAGTTGCAATTATCTAGCTCATTATTTTTGTATGATCCATATGAGTAATTTAATCTCAGAAAGTTCTTTTATGTAATATTTTAAAGCTAATTTATTCGTAATGAATAAATTTATTGAAGATAGTTATCTTATTATTTGGATATGTTTATTAGCCTTTCACTGTTAAGCTCACATTCTATGCCCTAAATAGGCTAAGCACCTTATATTTAACTATTTGAGCTGAATGGGACTTTTATCACCAAAGTATTAATTGCCTTATTTAAAGTTTAGACAGTAGCCTATAGAAATAAAATAATGGTCTATCCCAAAGCCTTTAAAAGATATCCATTTATCCAATGTTCAGTAATCTTTGCACTATTTCCATTAATGTTTTTGTGTTGCCTTTATGTGTGCTCAACATTCTTATTAAGCAGCACTTTTTTACTATTTATATATAAGAATTATTAAAATTCTTAAATTTTTCATTGGATAGTATGTTTTAACATCTAGCAGGTTTTAACTTCTCATTAAACAAATAAGAAATAATAAAAGATGATGGCAGTGTTAAACTTAAATTTGAGAAAACAAAAATAGGGAATGCTATTTCAATAAAATTAAAATATTCTGTGATTTCTAAAAATTGTTTAGAGTCAAGTGTTCCGGGCTACACTATAAGGACCCACATGATTCCTATGTACTTGTACACATTTTTTTTTTAAAAAAAGGAAAGAAAGGAAGAAAGAAGGAGAAGAAGAAAAAAAAAAAAGGTCCTGGGGTGAAGCCTGACAGTAATAAGGCTTGGACTTTGCAGGGGTCCTTTACTAGTGGACTCCCATGGACAGTCTTTATTCCTGCTGCAGGGGTCATAGCACATGTGCACAGTAGTGTCTGCTACAGAAGCCCATTAGAGATAGGTTTTATTGGAGCATATTACATTAGGCACTCTGTCCCTAGGTAGTGCCAAAATTCTAGACTCTTGAAATGAAAACAGGTATCAGCATAAGCCATATTGCTTACACAGTTTCAGACAGTGAGTCACTCATTGTAGGGGACGGTTTACCCAACCAAACTCCCACAAGGCTTTGCAAATAGACCTTCCTAAGGCTAGGCTGCTGTGGGATGGTCTGTATGTCAAATGTGTTGCTGATTGGTCAATGAATAAATCACTGATTGGTCAGTGGCCAGGCAGGAAGTATAGGTGGGACTAACAGAGAGGAGAATTGAGAGAACAGGAAGCTGGGTGGGAGAGACACTGCCAGCCGCCATCAGGACAAGGAAGATGTAAAGTACCGGTAAGCCACAAGCCACATGGCAAGGTATAGATTAATAGAAATGGATTAATTGAAGCTGTAAGAACAGTTAGCAAGAAGCCTGCCACGGCCATACAGTTTGTAACCAATATAAGTCTCTGTGTTTATTTGGTTGGGTCTGAATGGCTGTGGGACTGGCGGGTGTCAGAGATTTGTCCTGACTGTGGGCCAGGCAGGAAAACTTTAGCTACGCTAGGCCATCACATGTCCATCATGCCAAAAGTTACCTGAGGTTCAAGAGGCATTAGGGAGGTAGGTACTCTCAATTATTTGGCAATGTAGTAGGTAGTGAATTTGAAATGTAACTGAAGTAATCATACATTGTATAATATTTTACTGAAGTCATTAATAAAGAACCCTGTTTTTGGTAGTCTCTTCTTCTAGCTGTTTATTTTAGTTATTGAAGGAATTAAACTTCTGTGCATGGAATTATTTAAGCTGTCTGTATTGAAAAGCTTAATAGTAATGGGAAGCTGTTTTTTTTATCATCATCATCATCATTTTATACCACAGTTTAGAAAAATGACCACTTTCACATTACTGTGTGATTCCAACGCATGCATTTTATAGTTTGGGGCTCCTCAAATTATTACTCGCTCTGAAGATACATGTATGATTATAAATGACAAATGGTTTATAAAAGCTACATGATCCTTTAAACCAAACTGGATCCAGCACAGGTAAGGCCTCTGATAGTCAGGTAACTGATTGAGAGATCATGGTGGCTGAGTCTCTTCCTTCCTGGTGTTATGAACCCAGAACACTGGACGTTCTACAAGGCAGGAGATACTGTCTCTTTGCTACAGCAGCTGGCATATGGTAGGTCTCTAAATACTGCTGGATAAATGAGTGACTGCAGTGGAAAAGGGTGACTGGTCAGGTGTCAGGAACAGTTCATAATGTACCAGAAGAAAGGGTAAAAAGAGCAACGTTGATCCATTTCATAGTTACCGGGGTACTACAGAAACTAATGGTCTAGATATGATGGTTCTTCTGAAGCGTTAAGATAGGAATAGAGGGCAAATCCACCACTGCAAAGATTGCTTATATACTTTTCAGTAGTACAATGTCTTGTTGTAGACTATTTGAAAATAATTTCCAGCATTCAGAACAAATGTTACCTGCTCTTTCTTCTTGACATAGAGAAGTCCACCATGATTTCAGAATTATTTGCATGTAAAGTAATGGGCGTCCTTGTGGCATTTTCATTTAGACTTTGTTTTTGTTGATCTCCTTCTCTACTCTTGTCTATCTCACCACTTACACGCCACCAGTGTTCCCCTTTCCACTTGAATGTTACATGTGTTCTAGTCACTTTCAGAGTTTCCTTTTTCGCAAAGAAAAATCCATTCCTATTTTGTTTTCCGTAAAACTGTGATAGATTTGGAAAAGAAAGAGTCGTTGCTGAATTAGATTGTTGCCCTCACCACAGCTGTCTCCTTCCCTTCCCTACAGTAGCACTCAGGAGCCTTCTCAGCAGTCAGCGTCACCAGGAGCTTCACCTCTGAGCAAGTCTGAGAGCCTAGAGAGCCCAGGTTCAAGCAAGCCTGGGGTGACTGGCCTCAGGACCGCGGCTGCCTTCAAGCCTGTAGGATCCACCAGCACCATCAAGTCACCAAACTGGCAGCGTCCAAGCCAAGCAGGTATTCAAAAAAAAAAAAAAAAACCTCACTCTTGACTTTTCTTGAATGAAATTATGAAAACGTGTTCTAGCATGTACGATAGTCTTTGCTAGTGAAAACCATTCTCAAACATTTAAGATTTGGGAAGAACTATAAAGAATGTCAGTGGTTGCTTTGCTCTTCAGAATGCCTCGCAACCATCCTCTGTGCCTCCTACAATTGCCCTTTGCTTGTTCTGGAGAAGTATAAAGCAAAAGGGGACAGGAGGACAAAACACTAGAAACAGGGTATTTAAATACTTACACATAACAACTCAGGCTCAGTGAAGAAAAGTAAATTCTCGGTCAGAACTTTCAATAAAATGGCACACCTCTCTGACCCTTGGTCTTCTGATGCATACAGTGCAGGAAGTCTAAACCACTGACTGTTTCTCCAACATAAGCAACTCTTATGGTTATATGAGAAAAGTTGCTCTGTTAGGAGTAAGGAGGTAACTTAGTCAAAGGCTTATTACCACATCAGCCAGAAGATCTGAATTGGGTCCCCAGAATTCCCGTAAAAAAGCTTGCATAGTTGTGTGTGCTTGTAATCCCAGCATCAGGGAAACTGAAACAGGAGGATCCCTAGCATTTGCTAGCCTGCTCACTTGGCCTGTTCAGCAAGTCCCAGGCTGGTGAGAGACCCTGTCTCATAAAACTAGATAGCTGCCACCTGGAAATCAGTCCCAAGGTTGACCTCAGGCCTTCACAGCACGTGTACACGTACAAGCACAAGCATACCCACAAACAACTGCTGTTACAAGAAGGATGAGACGATACAGAAATGTTGCCAAGCCCAAGTTCAGCTTCACATCTTCCTGGTCTTTTCCCTTCTCCTGGGTGATGTTGTCATCTGAGTACTTCTTACTGCCTGACCATTATTTACAGTCTTGTATTGATGACCTCCAGTATCCTCAAGCCCATTGGCATGTTTGCTGTGCTGTGGTAACATTTCAAATGCAGTGTGTCGGAAGTGTGATTTCCTACCCTGGGCAATGGCATATGTGCTCAGTCATCAGCAGCATATTGAGAACTTTAGACCCCACTCCTAATTCTCACAGTGACTAATACCAACTGGCTGCCCGTTGTAGTATTCATCAAGCATTTTCTCTCCTTTGTCCTGGGAGCCATTGCTGTGGCTCAGACCATTATCACTGTATGGTGACATGTACTTTGTGTCAGAGTGGTGTGTTACATGCTGTTGATTCTGTGGAGAAGCTCCAAGTTCTTTTGCCCCTCAGTGTGCATGGAAGATTGACCCAAGGCTCATGTCCAGGTGCACAAATCCCTTGTTTGAAGTGACATGATATTTGCATCCCCTGATGGCCAAAGATATTGAACACCTTATTAGCCATTTGTATTTCTCACAAAGAACTCTGTTCAGTTCTAATGCCCATTTGGGGATTGGGTTATTTGTTTTCTTGATGTTTAGTTTTTGAGTTATCTTCTCTAGAAATCAGGCCTTTATTAGATATATCCTGGTAAAAGTTGTTTTCTCGTTCTGTAGGGGCCCCTTTACTTGATTGACCATTTCCTTTATTGTACACAAGCGTTTTTGTTTCATAGAGTCACATTTATGTTATTGGCCTTGTTTTCTAAATAGCCAGATTCCTATTCAGAAAGTCTTGACCGATCCCTATATCTTTAGTCTACTCCCCACTTTTCCCATTCACCAAGAGCAGAACCAGAGTTCCATGCACAAGACTGCCACTAGATTGGGCCCATCACTATTCCATATTGGTTTTGAAGAGGCTCATGAGGCCCTACCCCTCCCTGGGAAGCTGGTAACATTTAGCAGGTTGCCAGGGATGGGCACACTATTTTGTCAATGATGTAACCACTAATTAAGTTGACCAAAATCCAGTGAGTAGTCCTCCATCCACGTTCATGCTTTCAACCCTTGAAACTCAGTGAGTCCCCAAAGTATGCACACATCCTCCTACCTTAAACTATCCCCAGAATACCTACACTAGTATAATGTAAGTGAAGTGCAAACATTGTTACACTGTAGTGTTCAGGAAATACGACATGAAAAAGAAGTTTGTAGATGGTTAGTACATATTTCTTTTTCTCCACAAATATTTTCTATCCATTGTTGGCCAAACTTGTCAATATAGAAACTTCAGCATGGAGGGCTGGCTGTATCTGTGTTGTGATGGAAAGATAGGCCATTGCATATGATGCAGACTTCTTTAAAAGAAATTATAGACTTCTGTGTTATTTCTAAAAACAAAATGCTCAGACTAATAGTGGCTTCTGATACTTGTGGGCCATTGACATAGCAAGACCTATTCCTCTGGGAGGAAAATGTGATAAAGCTTAGCTATACTGAGTTATTTCCATTTATTTCAAGCCCTTGTATGATGACAGGGACTCATCATAGTTATTTTGCACATGCATTTAATGCCAAAAATAATTTTAAGAAAAAATATGGCTTTGATATAATTGGAAAGTGACGGGACAATGTCTTATAAAATAAAAGACACTACATTTCTAAGGTCGAAACTGAAGTGCTGACAGAAAAAACAAAAACATAGATGATAATTATGGCATTCAAGTAAGGATTCCTGGAGGAGACACTACATTAAAATTACCACAAGAGGGCAATAGAATCCTTTCTCCACTGAGTCTAATAAACTAATCAAATCAGACAACAGCAACTGTAATCATGACCCGTATGCTTAGTATTTAAAACATGATATTTTTGTAGAAACCATAGGTAATTTAATACAAGAATTATTATAACCTGGTAAAATATTTATCATATAACATAAAACAGTATTAACAAACAAAAATATTTTTCTGTTGTGAAATTGTAACTGGATTACATCGTGATCTTTAGTTCAAATTAGAAAATACTTTTGAGATAATGCTGTTCCCTTAGTATGAGGACCTAAAAATAAGCATTTAATGTTTTCTTAATGATGAGTGCTAATTAATTTACATTATTTTATAGAGATTTAAAAAAATCTAATTCTCAGGCTCTCATTTTTTTATTATATGATACCTGGAAGTATGTCATTTACAAAAGCAAAATGCAACCCTTTAGAATCTACTGTTAGTATTTGGCAGTTCTAAGAGCTTCCTAATGAAGATTTGAAATCCTTTGGAATGAGGCTGTGGTGGTGGTCCCTGGCATCACGGTTCACCTGTGAAAGCAGCAGGTCAAAGGGTGTAGAACCTGACAGAGCAGGTCCCTGGGCTCTGTGACTCACAGCATTAAAGCAGGTGACCTTGCTGCCGCCACACTAAGAACGTCATGCTTGTTTTTCTAGTTAGTTCATAGCTTTGCTCTAGTGTCCGAAAAGGAAAGAAAAACACATTTATCTTAGCTGCTACCAAGTGAATTATTTTAAAATAATTCGTTGTCTTGGAGAGAGGATCAAAGTCACCAACTTCTGGTCTGATCACCACAGTTGATTCTGAAATCAGTTTTATTATCTTGGAGATAGCGTTTATTTTAGCTTTATTTTTGTTGGGACTTATTTGTACATGTTTATGGGGTACATTCTGATAATTTGGCACATGTATACAGTGTTTGATGATTCAATCAGTAATAGGCACTTCCATTTCTTAAAAGATTCGTTACTTTATTGTGTTAGAATTTTGTACTCTTGTGTGTAGCAGCATGCCCCCCAAATGAAATAGAACAGTGCAGAACATACCAGAGTATTTTTATGTGCTATTTTAAAATACTATGAATAATTGTCATTTTATAAACATGTTTCTTGATATACCTATGTAAGAAAATGTGGGTATGTTCACGGGCTAGCACACACAGATGTGCATTGGGTTAAATAGTGAGGAAGTGGTTTTCTTACTATGCTTTACCATTTAAAAAATAGCTTGAAAGACTCTGATTTTAAAAATGTATTTCATTTGTGCTTTTTGTTTATTGCATTGGTAATGTCCTTAAAAATCAAATCAAAACAGAAGAAGGACTTCATTAAAAAGGTTTGTGGAAATTATAAGACTTCCTGGTGTATTCTGAGCCTGTGCTTTGCTTCTATAAGTCTCCTGAAGTTCTGTCTTTAAATCTTCGATGCTTTTCTTGTGGTGGTGTACTCAGACACCTTTCAGAACCACAGTAACACTAGACCAGGACAGTGTGTTTGTGGCAGCATTATAGTTTAAATTGGATTATGCATATAGTTTAATGTCCTCCCCCCATCACTGCCACCTCATTTAATCATTAAACTTGCAAGCCATTCACAAAAAGCTAAATATTTTAGGATGCAAAGTATTTAAAAGCTCATAGTCTACATGAAAATATTGATACAAAAGAAGGAAGAATCCAAGTTGAGTTTTGAGTAAGTCAGCAGCAGTACTACTGCCTGCTCGCTCATGTCTCTGTAAAATGACTTTCATGAATGACATGTAATGATCTCTTTCAAAACAGTGACCTGAATCTAGAGAAGTGCATTAAAATGTGATTTTTTTCCCTTGTTGTTTGTCAGAATTGAGATTTCTGGTTTTTAAAACCTAAATGGAATTCACTTTTGTTTGTTTGCAGAACTGGGGATTAAACCCAGGGTCTTACATGCTAGGCATGTGCCATACCACTGGGCTATGTCCTTCAGCCTCAATATTTATACATCTATTAAATTTTTAATTCATGAAAGCTTCATATTGTATATAAATAAATGGTTAGCTGAGTATTTTAAACCTTTGTAAATTTAATAGTAAGAGTTTAAAAATATATTTCTGTGTTTTTGTATGTGACCTAATTTGCTATGTAATGCTTTTTCTAGATTCCTGGTGAGTTATGATTACCAGATTAGGTAAACTAAACTCACTAGATGCAAATACATATATAAAAGTATTACTGTCTTTCCAAATATAGTAAAACATATTTTCATGGAGGCACAAAGGGCCATTTTGTGTTGGAATACATTAATTAGCTTAATCAAACACAAAATGAAAATGAATTTGCTGGAATACAAGCAGTGCCTTACTAGGTCAGGCTCCATTGTTTGTTGAACT